GCAGGAACAGCTCTCTTCGCAAAAAATCAAACCCGCGTTTAATCACAGGAAACGCTGGGGTGCTTCTCCGCGTGATGAAACTCCGATTCCCAGGGTCTAAATACTACATGATGCGGGTGAAAAAAAATCACGGCGAGAATAAAGGTTGGGCAGCTATCGAAGCGCACTCCAGAGATGGTAACGACAAAGGATTCATCTTCGTTTAAATGGTTGCCATCGGCATAATTATTACTAGCAAAGTTGTCACTGAAGGGAGACTTTCCGCCTGTCGCGCCTGCCGAGCGCGGCCGACCGTGTCCCCTGCAGCGCGGCGACGCTGCGCCCCGCGGCACCCGGCAAAGAGCGAAGGGATGAGCTCGCTGAGCCACAGGTAACTCTGGAGAGAGGGGTGCGAGAGGTGATGTCTCTGCTAGCTCCAAGCCTGTAGGCAAGAAAAGCCCGTCACTAATTTCTATTATATATATTTTTTTAATTTTAAAAATTGACTTCATTGGCGATGGGGAGGGAAGAAACAGAGGGCTGGAGGGAAACCTGCTACCAGGATGAAATGGCACGGCCGCGGCATGTTTTAAATCACGAATGCGTTTAATGTCCTTCGGTTATTTCCCCCCTACCATACCGTGTTACAGCCGGTATTGTCCCAGAGGGGAGAAAAATCGCAGGCTGGCTTGGTCGATAGACTAGATTATAGTAAGTAGAGAGGAGATTATATTTAAGGACTCAACGAAGAAAAATATATTATAGTTAGAGTGTATTATGTTATAATAAATATTTTAATTTCCAGGCAACTGCTGTAGGTGCACTGCGTGCTGGCAGCATCGGTCTTATAAAGTCTGGGCATAAGGTTCGCGCGTGTGCAGGGGTGCGTGGGGGTGTCAGTGTAAATTCCTAAATAAAAGTACTAATTTGATCTGGAGATGGGAGAAAGAAGTAAAGAGATATCAGGGGCAGGAGGTGCTCCGTCCTCTGGTCTTCTTCCAGCATATCCTAGCGTTGTGATCTAAAATTCGCCTTAGAAATAATAATAAAGAAAAGCATTATCTAATATTTAGCATGTAGTTCTGTCCGAGGACAAATGAGAAAGAAGCTGCATCATTAGGACCTAAAAGGCAACAAAACAAAAATCAGAGCATAATGATGCACCTAAATGAAGGGGGAAATGTTGCACAGCTCATTTTATTAATCAGACTGTCAATTCCACCCCAGAGGCCAAACCCCAGAGCAATTCAAGCAAGATCTGATCAAGCTAAGGACAAGAGCTTTACTCCTCACTTCTTGTCTTTCTTTCTTTCCACCTGGATATATTTGTCTGCTCTGAAGCCGCCTTCATTATCCACTGACAGGAGCTTGTATTTATTTGCTTATAAACCTGTTACAATAAATGATTATTCGAACAGCGTCATTCGTACCTTAATGACGAGCACCACTTTTTGATGAATGACATTTCGGGCTAGAAAGGATGTATGGGTCATTTTGACCAGTCATTCCCTCGCTTTGGCATCCCACAATTTTTACGCCTCCCTCAAAAAGAGATAATAATATTTAGAGACACTTGCCGGGCTGAATGTGAATTAGCCCCTGCTGCAGCTCATCATTAGTACAGGACCAGCCCTGCAACTTTGACATTTTTATAAAGCTGAGATGATGGAAAGAATAAGAAAAGAGATGATCCTGATGGAGAGAGGTCTGCACAGCCCTACAGCTGGCAAAAGGCTCTCGAATTTGTCAGACTCAGCTGGAAATGCGGTGCTGGAGGCCCTTGAAAATTCTCCGCACAGTGGTCGCCTCAGCCCGAGACTGACTGCCGCCTCCCTGCACAGCGCTATAGGGGACATCTCCGCCAAAGGCAAATTTGAAATAGACACTTTATTCAATCTTCAGCATCCGAGCAACGAAAGTACCGTCTCCTCCGAAATCCCGCCGTCGGAAAGCAGGAAGAAAATCAGCCTTTATTCCGAAGTTGCTCAAGAGGCAGATATGAACAGTGATGTGGAGGTGGGCTGCTCTGCGCTCCGCTCCCCAGCCAGCCTGACTTCCTCCCAGCTGAAGGAAAACAGTAACAAAGGTAACTCTCCTTTTATCACCTCCATCTAAGCCCCGCACTTTGCCAACCGCCTTTAAAACCAAAGCAAACCCACCGCCACCGCCGAAGTTGCTCGCCTCTGCACCGGCGCTCTCTCTTCTGCGAAGACAGAGCTCCAGGCTGTAAAATATTATTGTAATTACTGCGCTATCCCGATAGCCGAGACACACTGCCCGGGCAGCTCCTGTGCGGGTGCTTGTGTGTGTGCATGTGTGCATGCCCAAATCCATTGGTACGGAGATATATATCCAGAATATATGTGGGCACAAATATCCACCCACCTATATTTAGGGAAAGCTTGCTTCTTATTTTTTCCTCGCGCTCTGGGAGCTCTCGGCGTCTCTCGAGCTGGAGATGTGTGTATATACATACATAGATTAAATTAGAGAGAGAGAGAGGAATGCGAGGAAACTGCCTGTATTTGTCTGTGTGTCCTTCTCAGTGTATACGCAACGTGCCGTTTGTGTCCACCCCGGGGTAATTGGGCATTGTTCACTTTCCCTCTGCTTGTAACAGGAGGTTGGAAACAGCCTCGTCTCCTTCCCGGTGCTTTGCGGGGTATGGTGATGGACGGTGGTTGTTATTATTGCTGTAACTGTGGAGGGCGGGGGGGGCAGGTGAGCGCTGGATTTCCTAGGGGCCACGGTGCATGTCTTT